GACTACTGCAGCGCGGCCTTTGGCAGCACGCGAAGTAGACTTGGTGCATTCCCGGAGCTGTATGGCCGGGTCCGCCACAGAATAAGCAGAGTTTCTTGTCCATCCTTCTCTGCCGCTCTTCGGACGTTAACTTTCCGTCCTTACCCAGCTTGGAAGTAAGATCCGGAACCTTAGGAGCGGACGAGTTCGAGGACGCGGATGGCTTTGTAGACTTCTGATCATTGGAGTTTCCGGATTTGTGATTTCCGGATCCGGACGTATTGGAGTCGTTCCGGTCAGAAGCGGATTGCTTAGGGGGTAGTGGATGAAGTGGGTTTAGCTTCTCGAGAGATCTCTCCCTTCCGTTCCCAGTATCGGGCGTCGATAGTCTGAGCAAGGACTTTGTATTCGGAAGAGTAGAGGGTTTACCCATGCGACTGATTTCATCCTTGATACGGGCCGGGAGTCCGTTGTAGAATTGGCGTCGTAAGGCTCCGTCGCCCCAGCCACGAACCTGTGAAGCAAGACGCTGGAATTCCACAACGTACTTGTTGATGCGCTGTCCATCGCGCATGTGGAGCTGTTCGAGCTGCATTTCTGCATCACCGGATGGGTCATGAGGCCCGAAGTTGGCTTGGAGTTCAAGCATGAACACGGAATAGTCATCCATCCAATCCGGATGATCGTCTGAATCATCGGACAGGAGATCCGGTTCAAACCATTCAAGGGCCATACCCTTAAGGTAGGATTGGGCGAAGTTGACTTTAGCCCTTCCGGTACGGAAAGCCTTAGGCTTGCTCTGGAAGTTAAGTTCACACTGGACAAAGAACGCATGGAGCTTCCGTGGTTCGGATCCGTCGAAGGTATCCGGTTCTCGGACCTTGACTCTAGAATCTTCGGATGCGGGCGCGCGACGATTATTGCGAGCAAGGTTATCGATGGCTTCTGAGAGTCGAAGCATAATGCGGTCTTGTGGGTTTAGGCCGTCATTTTCATCATCCTCAACATCCGGATCATCATCCGGATCACCACCGTTATTATCGGGTGGATTACCAGGGAAATCATCATCACCATCATCGGGATCATCATCGTCCGGAGGTCCTACGGCAGGAGTGCGTGTTGGGGTTTCCGGGTGTCGACGATTAAGGAGTTCGGATATGGTTTGAGCGGTTCCGTGGGTGCTAACACGGCGCTGAGAGAAACTGGTGAAGGTGTTGACTATAGGTGTCGGATCACGACGGAGGGAGGTTAGTCCGACCGCGTGCAGAGTTGTTTGTGTCTTGGTAGGAGGCATGATAGATGTTAAGTAACTCGGAAAGGTATGAGTTCGAATATACTGTTAAGACCGTACTCAAGTAGTATCAGATCCGAAGGGCTTCGGCCTCAGCTCGTGCGCTGTGCCCCTTTCCCGAGTCTTGCCCCTTATTTCAGAGAGCTAAAGTATCGCGTCTAGTGAGATGGATAAGTATCGTAACGGATAAGTCTTGTATTGCAACGGATAAGTATTGCAATGGATCCGTTAAGACTTCCGGATATCGAACGTATAGAGTAACGGCTAATCCGGATCGGATCCGGACTAGAAACTAACGGGTGAGGACTGTCCGAAGACAGAGGCGGATATGTAGACTATAGGAATCTATCCTAAGTCTCGGAGTAGACAAGAGTAGCGTACTCAAGTCCGGATGGATAACGGAGGGACTTAGAGTCCAGATGGAATGAGTGCAATCTAAGATGATATTCGAACTGATCTACTACAGCGCATATACAAAGGTTATATACTACGGATAGCTAACGGAATGATCAATAAGCAGAGGTGCGAGGCTATGTACGAAAGTATAAGCAAAGTCTAAGTGGAGCGTATTGGTAAGTTGGATGGATCAGTAAGCATAGCGGATCAGTAAGCAAAGCGGAAGTAAAGGATAACCGGTATACCGGTGTACAGGAATACCGAAAGGAGATGAACGATAGTTAGAGTTATATGAACAGGAAATGAAATAAGAATCAAAGCGGATCTGTGGACCGGACAATGGATATGTTCATCGGATCTGTAACCGGATATATGGTATATGACAATTTCCCCGATCCTCCACCTGATATCATCGATAACGAAGAAGAATACGAAGTCGAAGCGATCTTATCACACAAGGGCATGGGTAAACGAAGACACTATCTCGTATCCTGGAAAGGATATTCATCCGCCAGTAACGAATGGATTCCCACGGAAAATCTTGGCAACGCCTCCGCAATCCTCGCTGCTTATAAGAAGGCTCACCAGTTATAAGAACTGTTGCGAAAAGATGTCTTTTTTCAGAACTTCGCACTCTCCAGATTTGCCTCTTGCAACTTCAAATTCTCGTCAGAACCATTGATAATATGTCCGAAACCCTTGCCACATCCCCATCCACAACATCCGTCACTTTGACCGAAACCATCGAATCCCCAAACTACTTCACCATCCTTGACGATATCGAAAACAACACGTATTTGAATCTGCTCTCCTTTCTGAACAATACGCTATCGAGATAGATCGTCTCCTTGCTGAACAAGGAGCCCTCTCTAGCACACTTCTCATTAACATTATTCGCACCGCCAACCTCATTAAGCGTACCGCAGGCCTTCTTAGTGAAAGCGAAAATGACCAACGCTTTAAAGCCATTTTCCGTCATCTCCATATTCGCATTCGCAACTCTGCTATACGTCTCATGCCTGCCTCTACCAAAGAAGTTGTTAGAGAAGCCATCCATATTGTCACTGAACGAATTGCAACAAACCAAATCGCCAGACCACCATCTCCTCATATCGCAATTCCCGTTCCTCCTCCGGTTGAGATATCATCTCCCGTTGAGCATACGCCTGATGCTATCATTCCTCCTGCTTCACCAATCGTACCGTTTGCTTCTACAACTGCCCCGGCTGGCAACCACCCCTCGCCCACGCCCCCACTCGTCGTCGACCCTTCAAACGAGAAATCTCTGTCTCCCCTCCCTCACGCAACAGCACTCTACGCTCCAAAACACCATCCCCGCCCCCGCAATCATCCTCCGTCACCATCGTGAAAATCGAACCCATTGATAATTTCAAATGTCACTATTGTAAAGAATTCGGTCATCGTCACAAGAACTGCCCAACGTATTTCTGCCGCGTATGTCGTAACCTCGCACCAGGGCATCTTTCGGTCTTTTGTAAAGACCTTAAAGGCGAGAAACCTGTCCCATTGGTATGGACGGATGAAGGTTTCTACGAGGCTCTCGCTAAATGGGAAGCTGATAAGGACGCCGCCTTAGAACAAATCTCTATCGAGGAAGATGAGAGAATGTTCACTCAATGCGCAGGTGATCGTGACAACTATGATGCTTACGATAACTTTGATTGTTGAAATCGGTGACTTCAACGATAACAACGGGGTAATGTTACAGTCGAGTACGCCCCTATTCATTTTCTTTCTCTTACATCATTGTATTACATCACGATCGCATCTTGCCGTCGCTAGATGATCTATTCTTGTTATCTCTGACTCGTCTTATCTCTCTGACTCGTCTTATCTCTCTGACTCGTCTTATCTCTGACTCGTCCCTATGATCTCATTGTACCGGCCCTAAAGTCGTTACCATTCACTATATAAACTCGTCCGGTACTATGTAGTTCTTTACTTTAATCTTACTAGGTTTTACCTGGAACTTCCTTCACTTAAGACCTCCAATCTTATGTCGTATTGAACGTGATTCAAGTCGAGGACACTCTCCTAGACTTGTCTTAGTGAAACTACTGAACTTCGGTATACGCCGAAGCTTTGAACCGACCTTGGCCGATTACTCTTATCGAGTAGCCATACGTCTGAACTCGCCTAGTTCGTAACACCTGGTTCAACTCCCAGGTGATTGTTGATTGACGCAAACGCAGGAGTGCCAGTGAGACGTTGACCTTGGCGAAACGGTATATGGACACTGGTTGTCATATTCCAGAATTCCTTCGCGATACCAAAATCAATGATGAAGGCGGTGTGCCTCAAATCGCCAAGACCCAGAACAACGTTTTGTGGTTTAATGTCACCGTGAATATAATTGTGCGAGTGAACGTATTCAAGACATGAAAGCTGGGGAAAGGGGTCAGTACATGCAACCCACACAGTAGCACACACTGATGGACCAGCTGATCCCCTAGATTTATGACAGTCTCAAGGCTGAATTTTCGGCTGTGAGAAAGGAAGAGACTGTGCAAGGATGGCCCAAGGAGATCGAGAACGAGAGCATGATATGTCGACTCCCTACCGAACCAGAGGGCACGAGGAATACCAACACCACCTTCAAGGTGTTTCAAAATATTGTATTCGTGCTGGACAGATGATGAATGGGTGATGGGTTCAAGTTTGACGGCAACTGCATCATTCTTTATGATGTTCCGTACGCGATACACGACAGCTAATGGGGTCCAAATGTTGAATTAAACATATAGTCAGTAATCGTGATATGTAAATAACATACCATATGAGCCAGATCCCAAAATGTCTCCTAGCCTGAATCTTCCGTCAACTCGAACGGGAACCTTATCCATAGTGTATACAATAGCCCACGAGTAGAGAAATCAAGGGAATCCGACCAACAACACTGGAGTCTGGAGGCAACCAAAAAAGCAGTCCTTCCACGCAACTGCCGCGTGACTTGAGCTGGCTTGAGCTGGCTTAAAGCGGTTCAAGCCGCGGTTCATATATTTTTGGCTGACGAAAGTTGTAGCCAGTTCACATGGCTTATGAATCAGATCAAGCCAGTGACCAGTGGTTTGGCTAACGGGTATCGCCGAAATTCTCACAAACCGGTAAATACCGAGCTGGAGCCAGCCATAGCCGAGCCGTGGCACTAGTAATCACGGCCATACAACATGGCGGGCCGTGATGGAGGCTCGATCTGGTGATTCCTAATTGCATTTAGAGGACAAACACAACTCACCGGAAATAACAACGTACTTTGGGGCATTCATACCAGGAACATTGCCCGTGAGTTCTAAAGCCTTCTTTACAAACTTTATGTCAATTCCCATGCCAGCGATCGCTTCAAACTTAGGACGCCATTCAGCAACAAAGTCGAGACGAAGTTACACAGACATACATTGAAGAGTCCTGAGGACACGATCTGAATCTTTTTCCCATGCAGCGATCTTGTCGTGATCAATCGTGACAGTGAAGAGCCTCCTCCAAAATCCTTGCTCCTTCGATGATGCTACATCGCTGTTGATGCGGTTTACCGATCTGCACAGTGTCAGCAGATTCTGGCTGATAGTGAAATCGGTTTGGCTCACTTATTAAGCTGTGTTAAAGCATGCCCCAAGTGTCCTCGCAGATCATCTTGGGTGGCCTCCTTGGTCACACCTTCAAGAATTTCTCTGATAGTCTCACACTTATCGGCTATCACCTGGAAATCAGACTTGTTCTTAATTACTGACTGTATAGACGTAAGGCTAGGCTAGGTAAGGTTTCACCAAGAGTTAGACCAACGCACCTGTGCAATAGTCAGAATGTTTGCAATTGTTCCGAGGATGCCTTTCACGAGATCGATAGGCACAAGGTCTTTGGTAGCATTGATGGCCGCTATAGTGACGCCCAGCAGTTGGCTCATGCTGTCGTCCCGGGACTCCTCGGTTTCAGGAGCGGGTTGTTTCGAGTCCTTCTATGATAGATCAGATATATAGTGGTGATACCTAGATATGTGCCTTCTTACCTTTGATTTTTTGGACCTTCCAAGTTCTGCTTTCGTTTTTTTGGATGGCATCGTCTGAGTTCATGTGGTGGTTCAGATTGCAGTGTGTTTCGTCGCCAGATAAGCGCTTCCACCTACCTCAGGGTAGAGGGTGAGAAACTGCGCGGCACAACAGCGTAACCTGCCGGGGCGCCTATCATATCGAGAGAACGAAGTCGAGGCAGATTGGGGGATAGTATGTACTACTAATACGGGATACGGTCAATGTTATTAAGGTACAGTTGTCACATCATGTGATGCCACTAGACGCGCATGTCACACCGTGCTGTCACGGCATCCTACAGCCTCGGTTCCCCTGCCTGTGAGTGCAAATATTACCACATGTCACCAGTGCGGATAAGTACATTCGTTCAAGTTGTGTGCCCTCGATGATGCTGTAGAAAAAATCCCCAAGCTCCTAAGCTATTCCCGCCCTAACTCTCTCCCTTCCCGCCACTCGTACTACGTCAAAGAAGACAGTGCCGTCCTCATGGTTTGCGCTGTTGATTTGGCCGGCGCTACACTTACCCAGTAACCAGTCATATACAGGCTAGTGTTTCTCCCCCGCAATGCCTCTCCCCTTCCAGCTCTCCTGACTCATAAGTTAGTCATAACAGCAAGTCCTTCCTGGTTGAAAGGTGCCACTAGACTCTAGAGCACTTTACGCTGCACGCCATGTCCTGATGGCAACACACTCTACTTAGCTTGCTACCAACTTCCCTGGAGGACTAATAACCTAATAACAGCATACCCGAGTTCCACACAGAGGAAAGGAACGGATGATTGGAGATGGAAACGTGAAGGAGTGGAATCCAATTGCGGTTATGATTCAAGAGCGCTCGACACAGATACTAAAAGAGTTACTAGCGGATCACTCGGCGATCTAAAAATTGAGAGATCTTGTCAAGGCGATGTGAAAGTGCACGAGATAACAGCAGGTCAGTCAGATCATCTATACACATGGTTTCATGAGATAATAGATCGTTATATCATTCAAAGCTCGATCAAGCAGCTCAGACAATCGCCCGAACGCCCTCCCACCCGTCTCGTCCGTGAAAGGTACATATATGGATAGTCATGCAAAGTACAAGAGCATATGATTACACGAGTGTGGTGTGTATGGGAATGCGTTAATCCTAATGATCACAGTGGTACAGGATCTTCCAGCGTCAACTTTCCTTCGGCGACAAGCTTCATTATATCATCTGCGCTGCGCAAGTTTGCTTGTATTTTATCGTCTCGTCCACCTTGCTGCAGAGCAGAGACCGCCCATATCTTCATCATCTTAGGCACGGCTGCCCGTAATTCAATGGCAACTTTATTGAACTCGCGAATAGAGACACCGGCATTTCGCATACAATCCATAGCGCAGCTCAAGTAAACTGGGAAACATTCGTAAAACGCGCGCGCTGAGTCTGTGTTGGTCGCTTACATGGGCGGTATTCGTCATCCTCGGGGTATGTGTTAGCTGCTTGTAGGTATGCCCTTGCCCCATTCGCAAAGCCAATACACGCGGCAATGTCATCGCTGTACCGAGCTGTCTGTGTATGATAGAATCCTATCATCCTGAAAGCAAGGCAACCATGAGAAAGGACAGGAAGTAAAGGAAACAGACAAAGTCATACGAATAAGCATTTCCAGCAGGATAGATACAAAAAGACGATACAAAGCCAGGGTCAACTTCCTCTTTACTAGGGTTCTTTGCTGCTATTTCAATCTCTTTGATGAGGTCTTCAGCTTCTTCCTTCAGATGTTCAAGGGGAAACTTAGAGTTCAAGCCAGGGTTGGTGGCGTAAGCCTGTCATGCGATTAAACCAGCACCCGAAGAAACATAACTTGCAACGCACGTCCATAAACATCCTGAGGTGCATGCTACGCACGCTTCGCAAAATCGTATCCTGGAAAATCGTTCCACGATCGTCATTGGCAACATTCTTCCAAACGTTTCGTCCCCATTCAAGCAGGTCAACAGCTCGTTTCAAAAACTGAAGACCGACGTCAGGTCCCCCTCTCAAATGGCTTTCCAACATGCTTCTCGTTATCCATGCACTGCACCAGATGATCAATAAATATTACAGCACGAAGCTCATGCAACGCACCGAACAGTCACTGACAAAGCGGGGCGTACATCATTCCAGCCCTTTTCCTTCAAGCGTTTCTGTGCCAGCTCCTTGATAGCTTCGGGTCCGTTGGAGTGCCAGGCTCGGCGAGCCGTAGCTTCGAACGTGACTGAACCATGGTCAGTGTGATTCCTCACGCAATACTAGAATGAGATTGCCTTGTTTGTTGTACTTGGTAATCCAGTCGGGTTGATTGAAATAGAACGCGCGCTCGTCACGCATCAAGCCATTGGTCATATACGTCAAGGCCTACGTATGTTAGGCATCATGATATTGCAAGCCGAAGAAAGCGGCTTGAACTCACCATCAGACTTCCGCCGTAAGCAACTCCTCCTGGAGCTTGAGCGTGAGGTATTTCTTTCAATTCATTCATAAAATCTACCCCTTTCGTGAAATTCTGGTACATGTTAATAGGCCCCTATTAGACAGAAGGGCAAGAACATACTTCGTATGCAGATGAGATCACCCAAGCCTACATGAAAGGCACCGCCGTTTAGCGATGGTATGCAACATTACGAGTGAAACTCACACTGCTAGAGAATTTTGCGGGACCCGCTTGCCGGAGTTCGGGAAGCATCCCCGTCGCGATTTGCCAAGGAAGGTTGCCATCACCGGCCTTGAAACGAACAAAACGTGGGTCCCGTGGAGCCTTGCCACGCGTTTGGGCTGCATCCAGGCCGGCAGTGTACTGATCTTTCTGCCGCTGTTCCGCGGGACTGAAAGTTAGTTTTCGGGAGTGCATCCAGTGCCTTCTGCCACGCTTCAGCACTCCGCTCCCAGTCCGCGAGGGCCTACGCACGGTGTCAGATCAAGCGAGAAGGGAGCACGCATGGACTTACGTCTCGAGATGCTGCCAGTCGTGACCACCCTTTGGCATAGCCCTGGATCAATATCTGTGGCCTAAGACGCATTAATATTTTCTCCATGTATACGTTAACTGGCATCAGGTACCATCTTCGCATCATCGACAGAATCCAGGTATCTATTTATATAAAGATCGTGGTCAAGTTATTTTTATCGCGATTCGATGTCAAAGTATAACTGTGACCTCACCTATTCAATCCATGATTGCAAGCAGCACGGTTCGCATATAGAACAGCGTTCTTGTCATCCAAAGCAATAGCCTCGGTATATTTTGCCAATGCCCCGACGTAGTCTTGCTTCCTAAATAACTCATTGCCCTCGTCCTTGAGCTGTGTTGCTGTCGGTTGCGACATGTTTTAAAAAGCAGGAACTTAGAAGGCTGCAAGTCGTTACGTATGGTGGTATGAAGAACGACGTTTAGATCAAGGTGGAAGCCAACTGACAATTTTGCGCAGGTTTTAAACCGATCTACACGAGGCGCCCTGGGGCATTCATTACGCAATCGGTGGCAAAAGACCATAATACCTCCAAGGTTAGTTGTAAATTATGTATACGATTCTAATGGCGTGTGCCAATACGTGGATCTCACTTTAATACGGCGAGTGTCAATGAGACGCGTTTCTGCGCGCGTACTATGCAATTTGAATAGGGGCAACGCTGTCCATTTTCAGCAATCACAGTGACGTCACACCATTGCCATGGTATAATGAAGTGACTTTTTAAATTGTTTGTGACGATTCGATGCATAATTTCATAGGCAATTTGCTGATTAAGTCGAACCATTCCATTGAATGAGAATGAGATGGCATTATCGCAGTGAGCGCTGTTATTATAATGTTCATGGCACGATGTTTTGGTGCACAGCAGTCATTCCAGCAATCCCTATCACTCTTGTGATTTTGAATGGCGATTCAAATCACAGGCTGATTATTAGTAAGTTGTGAAGTTATACCCAAATGCAACGCACATAAATTTAATATCCCTCGGGCGAGTGTGTGGGTCGCCAGGCAACCGAGACTACGTACAGAACGGAAGAAGACAAGGGGCGTAAAGTAACGAAGTGTAAAAGAATATAGGGTGATCTAGTGGGTCGAAAACTGTGATAGAAGCTACAATTTTGAATATTTACGCTATAGATACTCGTAGGTTTTTGGAACGAAGCATTGATACACAGGTGGATTGTCTAACGAACCGGACACACGCAAGACCGTTGGGTCAAGCAGCTGCGTTATTAATGAGAGGCATTAGTACAGATCACAAGTTGCTGACTGGGTGGGATGGCATGTTCTGCTGGTGCTTCTACACCACCCGCAAGGATGCCCACGCGCATCATGGCAAGGAGCTATGTAATGGAGTATGTGTTCACACCGGACGACAAGGATCATAGTCAATCATTAGCATTGTTGGATACGCGAACAGAAGCATGGTACGCACGTTATGCGCCGCGTGAGAGTGGGCGTAAATGCCACCGAAAAAGGATGCAGTCATGTCATTCCCAGAGTTTCGTGTGAGCAGAGCGGATCCTCCCGGATGGCTATCGAGGAAAAAGGACGCGTCGTGAATAAAACCTGAGATGAGGAGAAGAGTACGCGTCTGGGACTCTTTCTGGACTATTGGCAGAAAATTTGGAATTTTTCAGTAAAAAATTGTGCGCAGGATAGCGTTTGCTCACATGTCTCCCACGTTACCACGGGCAATTCCTGCGGGGGCACAGGCCATGCAATTGAGTCCTGAATGTCCTTGAGAGCCTTGAGTTTCATTGTGAGTGCACCCTTTTCAATTTCGTTGCTAGGGAAAACACGGAGATGGGAGGCGAACCCGAGGCAATGGCACACAGCAATGAACCACTTGGTAGGGTCATACTGGTACCATCGGAATGCATTCCTGGTGGAAAGGTCGGACTCGTAAATAAAACTGGGAACGATACAATGGACGTCAATTGCTACCTGTAGTCCATGGGAAATTGATGGTGAAAATTATGGTATCCTTCTCCCATCGTAAGGATAGCAGATATAAGGTGGTCGCGCGGCGAGTGCTTGTCGTCGTACGGCGTGCTGCCGAGATAGTGAGCGATGGAGTTGATGCAAAAAGTGCTCTGAGACAAAGGTTAGGCTTTGGCTTTGATGAACAATGTGAAACTCACATGATGGCACGCAGTCATGCGAAGGGCACCAACGAAAAAGAACCCGCCTTTCCAGTCACCCCACAACAAGCCAGGAATGAACATTGGAAGCAAATAGCCGAAAATAGTCAGGATGACAAAGTACCATCGGTGTTGCCATTGTACGAGAGGGTCCTTACGCAAGTCGGAAATATCAGCTGGCCCTGTCTTTAAGTCTGACTCGAAAATGATCCATCCGATGTGGGTCCAGAGGAGGCCACGTTCCGAGTTGTAAGGGTCAAAGTCCGTGTCGGTATGTCTGTGGTGAGAACGGTGTCGGCGTGCCCACCAGTAACACGAGCCTTGTACTGCACTCGCTCCCGCAAGGATGAGGAATACCTGCAATGGGAACGAAGCATTATATGATCTGTGCGACCAAAGCCGGTGGTATCCTGGAGCGATGCGTTCTAATGCTATCTCGTTGCAGGTATTTTCACCACTCACCAGCAGTAATGCCTGGCGAAGCAAATTCAGCGATCAGAAGAAATGAGTTTTGTCGAGTACCTACCAAGCATGGAATAAATGTAATACATGGTAGTGGCAACGACAGTCTTCCGAAGGATAGGAACATATAGCAAGCCGTACAGGGAAAGGACCGGTGTGATAACAAGGATAGAAAGGTTGAACCATCGTATGCCAGTAATGGTCGGAAAACCTTGCGTCAAGTTCTTAATAAACTGCATATTAAGCTGCGGTCGTCACCACCAGAAACGCCAATAGAAGAAGACACGACCAAGAAGAACAGAAGGATGTCGCACTTGTTACCAGGCTTATGTATCACCATGCGACGGTGGGACAAGTTAGTCCATAAGATTTTTCCTCCGTATTATATGTTCCGTTGAGACATGGCATGGGTGAGCTGATCGGGCAGTTAAGATTCGGACGGATGTCGCGTGAAAAGAGCCTGTGTAGAACATAGTTCGAATCGTGGAAGACAAAGGCAGTAAACCTTGTGAAACTCTTAGAGTCTTATTTTCCGTGAGGTCTGATCCGGGCTGTAATTGCCGATATTCGACCCGAGACAATGAGACTCATCACAATTACCCTTCACAACAGCCTTGCAAATGGGCACTCACGCACAGGTTAAAATTTTCCACCAGATGGGCTCGTGTCATGTTCTCGTCACGGAGTACCTACACCTCGGGGCTGAGATATTCTTCCATCCCGGTCGCGTCGGAATGAACGAACCATAATTGGCTACCATTGGTCAAACTCGCGGAGAAGGTACTAGTTGGATCATCGGGTTGTGCCGCCAAGACCTAGATTGTTGGTGGTGTGCAGCCTAGTAGAGCCTAGTGCGGTCCCTATCAGTCTCGGCCATGTCATTTGGCAAAGAACAAGAGATTCAAATTCTAACACCGCGTCGCAAAGCGCCATATACCTTTAATTACGCCACATGATTGACAAATTGTCTCACTTCTCACACACTACTAAGTTACAGTGCGTTACGTTTCAGTCCTTGAACGTGTTTGTATGTATTTGGTGGTGTAGATTTTGAAAACCGCCAACCCTAACCACAACAGCCACGTTGCGATCGGACGACGGACACCGTGCACCAAGCCTCGTCGGGCAACAATACCAGTGTATGCATTCTGTTTACCCCCCTTTTGAGCTGATAGTCTTCGTTCCTAGGTCTTGTGACATCCAAATACAGTCAATATCGAGCACGAGGCTCCCAATCAGTAGGGTCTATTATTGTACAGACTCACTGCATGAATTCCCCGCCTTCCCTGCAGTTTTTTCGCTGTATCCAGATGAACTATGCCGTCCACGGGGCCTTTTGACGGACATGAACTTTGTCTCTACAAGGTGTGGCATGATATGATTTATGTTCGATCAGCTGACAAGGCCAATCTTACCAATTTCTGTCAATGGTATAAGCTCGGACAGATCTTATTGTCTTGTACAATCCTTGCAAAAAAATCACTCTCGTTTATTAGTTCCTGCTATCGTCTTGGATGATGCAGTGCACTGAGATGGCAGAATCGCGGACTGAGGTGTCGCGCGTCGTCTCGCTCTGCCGCTACCTTTGATATATGATTGCGAGTTGACGAAGGCTGTGCGAGAGTGTGGCAATCGAGACTTCAACATTCGGTGTTTCAAGCAACTACTCTTGAATTTCGTCGAGGAACAGGGATGAGTTCGCATCAAGAATGGATGTGATAAATGAGAAGTCCTGTTGGTTGAACCGTTGAGCATACCAGGCCTGTCCGAAATCTCGGTGGAGTTTCAAAATTTTGTAGACATTTCGTTGACTGCAAGTCAAGCTATTTCCGCAACTGTCTTCAGATGTTGCTGAAAATGCTGAACAACAATCCTCTCCCGTAGTTTTTCTATGAGGTGTGCAGACATCATTAGGCGTGACAGGTCTGAGGTCACAGGGCAAACACATTTCAAAGAGAATATTCAGAGGTTCCTGTTGGACATAGTACATATATATGCAAACATACTGCGTCCAAATCAAGGACTGTCCCGAACTCCCTTCATTGTTTGCGCAAAATCAAGTCGAGACCAACGCCGAAGCACGACAATGTGATGGATCACGTTGAATGCGATCCAGGTTTCATATATGTATACAGCGTATGCAACAACTCAGTACTCAGAGGTGGCTGTCAGAAGTAGAATTCTCAGTGAATGCACCAAGATCGATCATGGTGGTCAACTGCTGCGTTGGGGCGAGGTCACTGGTTGTGAGCCGTATGGTCGTCACCTTCCGGATCATCAGTTTTGCAATCAGGTACACGGGATGCATAGGATTACTAGCAGGTTGCAAACTATCAGGGAGGACGATGTTTGGACACAGGAATATAAATGTTTGTAGGTCAGCATCAGAAGAACGTAATGCACCTGGGTCCTGGGAATCGTTAATTCCGGGAGTTGAACGTTGAAAGTCCGGCCGGATAGGTACTACTATGGGGATCTCGAACGTTTCAACTCTTACGACAGGCCACCTCAGGTCGTACACGATTTGTCGAAGACTTACTCAAGTTGGGTCTCACTATTGGCCTTCATGCATTTGTCTACCCGACTATAGTATGGCTTGGCACCCTTATTTGCAACGAGGTGAGCGGTTCAGACCGTCGAGTCGAGGAGCTGAGTACTTAAATTGAACAGCCTATTGTAGCCCTGGGAAGATTGAATGTTCAACTGACGAGTCCACTCATTCCTTCATATTCACACAGGTGTCATAGA